AGTTAAAGCAGTGTCAAACTCCATTAATTCTGAAGTGTGGCAATAGCCTTAGGGTTCATCTACACTGTAGAAATAATGCAATTTGACACTACTTTAAGCACTGTAGCTCCGCCTCCATCCTATGGGATTTCTTATTTTTTTAAAGGTCTTTATATGATATGAATGAGCCAGTGTGGTGTAGTGGTTTGAGTCTTGGACTACAACTCTGGAGACCAGGGTTCGAATCCCCATTCAGCCAAGTAAATCCACTGGGTGACCTAGGGCAAGTCATACTCTCTCAGCATCAGAGGAAGGCAATGGCAAACTCCCTCTGAAGAAACTCGCCAAGAAAACCTCATGATGGTCAGCATCTCTTAGGGTCAGCATAAATCAGAAACGGCTTGACAGCCCACAGCAACAATAAAGGTCTTTAGCCTTCTTTGTCAAAGAGTGCTGGTGCCTCACAAAACTACAAATCGCAGGATTTTGTAGGATGGAGTCACGGCAGTCAAAGTGGTGCAAACTTCATTATTTCTACAGTGTAGACGCACCCTATGTCTTAAAGATGCTAGTGGATTCCTTTGTGTCTTTTTAAAGATAAGATTGGTGGTGGGGGTGAAGATGATTAATAATATACACCCTTAATTCACATTGAATTCATCATTACTCTTGAAATATCAGTCACAGTATCACTATAAAATATAGAATAACATGAAGTTTTCTAGACGCAAGAATCTGGCATTCTTTATGGGAAAGAATCCACAAAATCCTCTTCCAGTCCAGCATTGTGTTAAAATTTAGATTCCCAGCTTCTTTTATTTTCAGACATGGAGAGTCTCCAGACAACTTCAAACATATGAGAATAAATGTCTTAGGTTTTTAACTCTGTTATGAGGGTAAATATGAGCAACATCTCTCCATGGCTTGCTATTTTATCTTCTCCTTATCATTCACCCTTTAATCATCTCTGTTCATAAGTCATATGGCGTAAAAGAATGAAGAGAAACATCATTGAATAGACCTATTACTTGGCCCATTTTGTATTACTTTAAAGGAGGTCTGAGAATTATTTATAGCTTGTTTGACCTAGGAATGAAAAAGAAGGTAAATCAAGCTGTTATCACCCATAGCCTTAGAAAATTCAAGAGATCTTTTTAAGACCAGAAAGAGGAGGACAAGATGGAGGAGGTTAAGATGTGAAGGAAGATGGTTACCTTGCAAACAAAAATAAAACCTAGGAGTTGCATAAGACACAGTTTATCTGATCAAGGCCACAGCACTGAATATTTTCTCAGGGAGAAGCATAACCCACTTACCTATTGTGGATAGCATGGATCCCACAAAAAAGAAGGAGTTGCTGAAATCCCAGTTGCTTCGTTCATTGGGAACCCCATTTCCAACTGGATATATTCCCATCCTAACAGCTTCCATCAAATTCTGTAATTCAAGAAAAAGTGGACAACCATTGGTTATAATAAACCTCTAACAAAGCCAAGGTGATGGCGTCCTACCTTCAGCTGTACAGATGATTACACAGTGGCAGTAAACTGAGAGATTGTGCAACCTTTCAGTTGTTCTTGGACTACCCTTGCCACAACCCAGTCCAGCATAGACAGGGGTGAGGAATGCTAGGAATTACAATCTATCAGGGGCATCCCTAGGGTTGGTGTCATCTGGTGCAGTAACTCATGGTGTCACCCCCCTCATTGACCTCCTCCTCCCATTTCATACCATACAGAATCCTTTGTAAAAAAAATTTGCACTAATGTTACTCGTAAATCATAATTCCCATATACCACTGAATGTAATGCTAATAGTTATGACATAAACAACTAGCAAAATTAAAATTATACCTTCAAATTACAATAGCTTATGCATAACCTAAATAGCAATGGAAATGCAAAACTAGTGAGTATGGTGATGGGGCAACAAGTTCAATTCTAACAATGGTCGTTGGGAGACAAAGACAGGAGGAAGGATGCTGTCTAAAGCCAAGGTCAATAGATAACCACATGGATGTTACAGTAACATCCAAAATCCAAATCTAGGCCAACCAAAAAGCACAAAATACATGATGCAAGCGTTAGAAGCTCCAAAGCTCATTTCTTCATCAGGCAAAGGTGTCAAAAATCAAACAGGAGGGGGGAAAACATGACTATGTTGGAGTCACAGGTCTATAGCTTGTCAAAATATTGTTCTACTTGTTCTCAGGTACGGTGGTACGGAGGGGTATCCATGTAGTCAGAAGTTGTGTTGTTGGAATATAGTGTGATGCTGGCTGGGAACCAGAAAGGAAACATGATGAACTGACCAAGAGAGCTCTCAGGAGACTTGGGGAGTTAATTTTTGTTATGATATGTGTAGTATGCCAGAAAACCATTATCTCTGTTATTGTTGATAAATTGGAGTTCTGCTGTTTCTCTTTCCATTCTTCTTTTGCTGGTGTTCTGGTGCAAGGACTGCTGTTCTGATGACCAGGAAGACTAAAGTGTTCTGCAACTGATGTTTGTATACTCACATTCCTTGTATCTGATTTACCTCCATTTATCCTCTGGCTCAGAGACTGGCCTGTTTGCCCAATGCAGAGTTCTGAAGGGCATTGTTGACAGAGGATAGCATATGTCAAGTCAGAGGACGAGCAAGTGAAAATACCTCTAATATTGTGGGTGATGTGGTTAGGTCCTGTGGTGACATTTCTTTAACAGACGTGTGGTCAGAGTGGGCATCTGGATTTGTGGCAAGCTCTTTGACTAGATTAGGCATGATATTTAAGCAATGGAAGCAGGAGAATCTCACAACTATCTTTCTCTTCCTTAATAGCACTACAGCACCATAATAATAAAATATCTACTGTTTTGCTGTCCTTTCATGTCAACGAAACTGCTGCCAGAAGCATCTGCCTCGCTTTTCCTAATGGTAGGGCTGGCCCTATGTGGCAAAGCGCTAACACTGATGGAGCTAATGGACAACACTTTCTAAAAGTTAAGATGAGATATGGTTGTACAGTAACTCAGCCTGAATCATTGTGATATGGGGGAGGAGAAGCAGGAATCTGCATAAAATAATTTTAAAATCTGTTCAAAATATGTAATCACAGAGCTTCCCAGTTCAATTCATTCGTATTTTCCTGGCTTCCAGTCTTGTTTCATGAGTGTGATATAAACATTTCAGGTCTTGAGATGAGGACAAAGGAGTCTATAGCCAACTAGAACATGCTTTTTAATAGACTTCAGAAGATATTAGCTCCACTTCTGATATTAGAAAAGAGAATGAAAAGCTGCAGCTGCACTCCACAGATAATACAATTCGACATCACTTTTAACTGCCATGGCTTTTAGTGCTATGAAATTCTGGGGTTTGTAGTTTTGTGAAATATTTAGCCTTCTCTGCCAGAGATCTCTAGTACCACAACAAATTAGAAATCCTAGAATTCTATAGCATTGAGCCATGGCAGTTAAAGCGGTGTCAAACGGCATTATTTCTGGAGTGCAGATACAGCCTTGTTCTATCCTTAAACTTGGAAAAGTTGCATTTTAAAAGACTGCAACTGCCAAAACCGTATCTCCATCCCTGAAGTTGATAGAAATTTTTTAAAAAAAGACTACAGTTCCCAAAACATCAGCTATCCGTGAGCTCAGAAAAGTTACTTTTTAAAAGACTTACAACTGGCAAAAATTTCCCAATTGGCTGTGAAGGTAGGTAAGTCTTTTGAGCATTGCTTCATCCTTGCTGGAGCAATAACTTACCTCCACAAAGACCTCAACCTCTGCTGGGCTGAGAGAGGTGATGTTCTTCAAGAAGTCTTCCTTCATTCTTAAGACGGTCCTTTGCTGTTCTCTCTTAGCATCTTTCTCCAAAGCTTGAAAGATGAGGGCACCCATCAGGAGATAAAAAAGATAGCCAGCGATGAGCGCACAGCTCTGCAGCCTGCTGTGGATCATGGTGGTCCTTGTGGGAATGAGAGCAAAGGAAGAAAAGGAAAGAGACAAGCTAGTAAACAAGTCCTTATTTTTGTTCTGTTTTTCTCCCCTTCTGATGTCATGACTTTCTTCGCAGGGCCATTTCCATTTCCCCTGTGATTTTACACCAACATAAAGAGATTAGAAATCTGAAAGTTAAGGTTAGGAGTTCAGGGATTTCCTCATTTGGAATGCAAAAGGCTGTTTCAGTAACACTGGAAAAATGCAAGTAAATGTTCTATTAAAAGATAATATAGACAGAATATGGGAGACAGGATTCTCAGAAAAACTAGCAACAGAACAGCTGAATTTTTTATTCATTTTATTTTATTTTATTTTATTTTATTTTATTTTAGTCCCACCTTTCTCCTGACAGGGACTCAAGGCAGCTTGCAGCAAAAATAAATGCTTGATTATAAGAACAGTTTTAAAACATTTTTTTTAATTTATTGAATTTATATCCATCCTTTCTCCCAAGATGGGATTCGAGACAGCTTACAATGATTTAAAAAGATCAAGTTAAAACATTAATTTACAATTTTTTTTAAAGAATTAAGCAACAATATTATTTTAAAACATAATTACAGTTGGCACTCTATATCCATGGATTCTTCATTCACGGATTCAACCACCCACGGTTTAGAAATATTTTTTTAAAAAAATACAAATTCCAAAAATCAAAGCCCCAGAGGATACTGAGGGCTTACTGTAAAACAGTTAAAATGCTTAACACATATTTTAAAAATAATTTCCAATAAAGATTAAAGAATATGGCACACTACTTTACACATATAATTTTGCACCTTATCATAAAACTTTTCACATTCTATGACACATTTTTTTTTATAACTACAATCATCAAACCATTTTCACAACAACATCAGGACATTTTTCTTTAAAACTGGATAAAATTGACATTTATATTAAAATGACAGGCCAGTCTGGAAACATGGGGAGGGAGGTACTATCTTGCTAAGCAGAGGGGCGGGGTATTATTATTATTATTATTATTATTATTATTATTATTCTGTTTAAAATGGTACGTATGGTCAGCCTAATATCACCTTTCTGATTCCCAGCCTGCATACGCCAAATTCCAAAAGTTTTCCACCATTTGTATGTTCGTCCACCCACCTGGGCCTTGGGCAACATCTTTCCTCTTGCTTTTGTGCCTCAACAATCACAATTAAAACTGAACTTGTCACCTCATCACCATACCTACAATTTTTGCATTTCTATGGCTATCCAGACAGTCTCATTATAAAGGTCCTTCCTGGGCAACACTTCACTCCATGTGTATAAGGAAATAGACCAAGTCTATGGACGTTATCACACGGGGGCAAATCTGCTGGTTAATCCACACAAAATCCAGACAGAAACTGGATTAGTGCCCTGTGTTTTCACACAACGTCGCACAGAAACTGAACAGAAAGTGGACAGAAACTGGTGTTAACCGAGATCTTTTGAAATTCAGTTCTTTGGAGGAAATGCAAATGCACCATGAAGGTAATCGCGCATTTACCGTAATGTGATAACCAAATGCACATTTGGAAGGGGATTTGGAAGAGAGTCGCATTTGGAAGAGGGTCGGTGCTCCGAGGAGGTCCCCCTTGGAAAG